AAAAAAAAAAAAAAAAAAAAAAAACCACCCAAACAGATAGTACTGTTGTGAAAGTTACTATCTGTCCCAGTGTAATTTCTTGGTTGCCTGCCTAACGATAAAAACAACAACAAAAAAAAAAGCATTGAGATCTTGGATACTCCAAAAATGCAACTTTTCCCTTAAAGAGGGAATAAGTCTGGAGAGGGAAAGGGGGGAAAGAAAGGTATTTCTTCTCTGCACTTCTCCAAAGCCCCTCAACTAACCAGAGGGAGCTACCAACGTACCAATGAGAATCTAAAACATAACAAACTTCAGAAATTCATGACTCTACCTGTTAGCCAGACTGTGCATCCACGAAAACCACTTCTTGTTCCTACCACTTGGCCTCTCTTATTCCTGCTGACATGATGAGCCTGGTAGGTAACGTTAGTTGCCCTCTGCATTCCCTGTAAAAGAAGATATTGTTAGGTCGTTGACTTTTGGAAGGGTAAACTGCCAAAACCCATTAAAAACCTATCCACAGACAGGAGGCAATGCTTGGAAACAAACCAGTTAAAGACAGTAAAAATCCATCTGCTGCAGCATGTGAAAGGGCCTAGAGTTAGGAAACCCACTCCATATGCATTATACACATTGTATTCCTCCTCTGAAACTTGGAGCTACCAGGTTAGGCAACCACTACTTTTAAGAAAATCAGTCCACTAAGATGAACTGCTAGGACTCCTACTCAAGTTATTCAACTTGAATAAATGGACAATGAATTCTTGTCTTACAGCTGCAGGTTTCTAAGAGGGCTAAACACTGTCTCTTTYTAAGCCATAAAAACAGGCCTTTTCATCTCAAGCTATGCATGTGTGGTCCAAGTTTCAATGCAGCAGTCACACCTTTAACTATCCTGCCTTTACCCATGGAATCTTCCATCGCCAAAATACAGACAGTTAMCTGTCTACTATCCTGAGTAGATCATTTAAATACTCATGATAGTATTTATAGTAAGTAATACTTCTGGATGACTTAAAAATACTTATGAAGCCTGAATTKTGTAAGATTATTTTATTAAAAACAAATTTAGTTAAGATTTTTAAAATTTTTGCTGATTGTAATAAAGTGCTATATAGATATTTTAATCAAGCTAACACAGCTGTCACTCAAATTTCACATCTAAGATTAGAAATTCACAAAAAGATCATTCTTGGTTTCTCTTGAGATTTATATGTATCTTTATGGGTATCTAGTTATATAAGCTTCATTCATTCAAGATTAAGACCTTAGACAATGAGACAACAGAATAGGAGCAATGCAACACACATACGCTTTTTAAAGGGCAGAGGGGATTAGTTGCATGTATGATATTGCTTTCATTTCATCATAGAATGGAATCATCATAGAATGCCGAAGGTTGGAAGGGACCTCAGAGGTCATCTAGTCCAACCCCCCTGCTCACGCAGGGTCACCTAGAGCACGTGGCACAGGGCTGCATCCAAGCGGGTTTTAAAG